TATATATATATATATATATATATTGACGCAGAACAACTTCCCGTCCATATACGCGAATGTTGAGCAGCTGGCTACATGACTCCACAGATTTAAAGCTAACTAGCTGGCTGCCTATTCAACGATCCAGTTATCTGCCTAGTTAGCGGGCCAGCTACCCAGTCAGCAAGCCAGCTAGCCGGCTAGCTAGCTGGCTAGGCCGTCCAGGCGGAGCAGATACTGTCGCAAACGCAACGACTTTACCCTCTCGCAGTGGAAGAGCTTCGGGCCGTCAATCAAAACCGTCTCAAAAATTGCATCCAGCTGTACGTACAACATACCCATGCCCGGCCGCACAGCCCCATTTGTACAAGGAGCAGCGAGTGTCAGCCAGCTAGCTAGGTAGCTGGCTAGCCAGCTATCCGAACAGCTAACCCCCACCAGCCGATAGAAAGATGCAGCCTTACTTGCTGCTGATGCTTGAGCCTGTCCGCCTTATCCAAATCAATCATCAGAAGCTGCAGCATCCCTAGGAGACAGCCGCAACAAACCCCCGATGCCGCCCCCAGTGTCTTTGCGATCCTGAACGCATGCATATGAATGACGGTAGCAAATTACGACTGTCGTAAACTCAATAAAAGCAAGTCGGTGGGAAATCAGGGAAACACGAACACGTCACCGGTCGCTCAGCACGCGGGCCAAGATGCAAACAACTGCCGCAGCTACTTCATCTGCCGTTGCTGCAGCAGCTGCTGCTCCTGCTGCTGTTTCTAGTGTTCGTACCCGAAAGCCGCGGAGGCTCTTTGAGCTGCTGACAGGTTTGGGGGCGGGAAGCCTAGTCTGTTGGCGCAGGACTCGATTGTCGAGCCAAACAAAACTCCCGCAGTGTCGCTGCACAGCTGCCCCACTGCAGCAGCGGACAAAGTCGCTAGCCCAAACTTTACGCCTAACGTCGTGTCCAGCAGCTGGCAAGCATACACACACAATGCACGCACCCACAAGCTATGCATGCACGCACGTATGCTCGCATGCATGCACACATGTATGCATGCACACACGCATGCATGAACACACGCATGCATGAACACACGCATGCTGACTTGTCGTAGGAAGTGTTTGTCTGTTTGTTCGTTTGTTCGTTTGTTCGTGTGTTTGTGTTTGTGTGTGTGTGTGTGTGTGTGTGTGTGTGTGAATTAATTAGTTGATTAATGAACTAATAAATGAATGTCTTGCTCCACGCGGAGTTGAAGTGCCCCTTCTCGATGTGCTGTGCATCTGATGGTGCTGATGTTTTTGATGCTGCTGCTGCTGTTATTGGTAGTGCTGCTGCTGTTGGTGGTGTTTCTGCTGCTGCTGTTTACTCACATCCCCCAGGCGGATCATAATCAGCTGGTCCATCAAGCCAAAGCCAACCATCGGCAGCGCAGCAACACCAAAGACATGCCACGCCTCTCGCCACGTCAGCTGAGCCTCTTGTTTGCGTCCTTCCGACTTCCCCCCGTCTTCCCCTCTCCCTCCCCCCAGTCTGTTTCTGCGTGTTTCTATGGCCTGCCGCTGCTGGTGCTGCTGCGACCGAGGCCTCTCAGCACTCTGCAAACTGGAGGGCTGCTCAGCTTCGCGCAGGACCATTCGTTGCTTAGTTGCCGTCACAGATTCTTGCTGCTGCTGCTGTTGCTGCAGCCCCTTTTGCGGCTGCAACTTGAGACACTGCTGAACCTGCACTTGTGGAGTGGATGCCGCCGCAGAGGGCCCTCCAAAATCAGCCGCCGTCGCAGAAGAAGGCACAGGGGGGAGGTGAACCTCCCGTAAACCCCCCAGCATCCAAGGAACACCTACGAGCTGTAGCTGCAACAGCTGCAGCTGGTGCATCCGCTGCAGCTTCCGCTGTTGTTGCAGCGAGAGGTGACGAGAGGCACCAACAACCTCCGTCGATGGTACAGCCAACTGTATTATCGTTCGCTCAGCAACAGCTGCAACCACCGCAGAGGAAGCGTTGGCAGCACCAGTGGAGATGTCAATGGACCTTTTTAAGAACCCCCTGAGGGGGCTTCTGGTCCATATATCACGAACATGACGACTGTTGCTGTTGTGGGCACTGTTATTGCTGCTACTGCTGCTGATGTTGTTGCTGCCTCCATAGGGAGTACAAGAGGGCGCTGTCCCCAACTCGCCCTTCAAGTGAGCTCCTAATTCGCTGCTTGGGCAACAGCGCATGTTGCCCCCGTGGCTGCCGCTGTTGCTGCTGCTGTTGTCTTTGCTCCGGCAAGAGCAGCAGTAGCAGCTGAAGCTGCTGGCTGCCTTGCTGAGGGCAAGGCAGCCAGTAGCTAGCCGCTGTGCAACGGAAGCCCTCCTAGGAACTATAGGAATTGTTGCTGTTGGTACTGCTACTGCTGCTGTAGGAATAGCGACCATTTCTTCTGCTGGTAGTGTCCTTGCTGCTGCTATGCGGTTGTTTGGAGTACCAAAAATAGCACCACAGCGGAGCTTCTGAGGCCCCTTATATGGGGCCTCAGCAAGACAGGCATAGGAGTGCAACAAAGAGCAGCGCACCATTGTGTTGCTCCCGCCGCCGCTTCTGCCGTTGCTCTGATGGCCTTGCTATGATAGTCGAAGGCAATCTATGAGGAGCCGGCGTCCTTACACGGCAGCAGCAGCAGCAGCAACCGTTGCCGCTGATGTCGTTATTGCTGCGCTGGTTAACAGTATGCAGAAAGAAGCACCCGCAGTGAGCGTGTCGTCGTTGCTGCTTCCGCAGCCACTTCGAGTGCTGCTATTGCCGCTGCTGCTGCTGGAACGGTGGATTCATTGTAACCCCTACCTGCGCTTGGGTGAGCTGCCGGCCTGCTGCACGACTGAGTTACTGCGAAACCCCTGAGCTGCGCTAGCTGCTGCAGCAGATCTGCTGCGTTGCAAAGCCCTTTGGACTGCAGTTCTTGTAGTTGCTGTTCCCGCTTCTGCTATTTCTGCTGCTGGTGCTCCCGCTGATGTTCGATTAGTACTGGGGAGTCCCAGTAGGTGAATGCACATCCTCTCTTTCGGAGGTCTCTTCGGGTTGACGACTCATCCTGAGCACTCAGACGCTCTTTGTGGTGATGTTGCTGCTGCTGTCGCTCCTGTAATTGCTATCTCTCTCGTCAACGTTGCTGTCCCTGCCACCTGTGCCATGTGTGGTGCGTTTGGAACGGCACTCCGGGAGCAATTCTGGATAGGTTGTGTGCTCTGTCCTCGTTTGCCTACGAGTACTCTGAAGTTAATGTCCCAAGGAGCACCAGCACCAGCACCAGCAGCTGCTGCAGCAATAGCAGGACGATTGGGGACTGCGAAACACGGAGTAAAATGGAAGCCGATGCCTTCCGACGTGCAGACGGGTTAAGACAGCAGTGTACTTGTTCCACCGAGAGACCTTTCCTGCTACTTATGGTGTTTCTTCCGTTCCTGCTCCTGGTGATATTGCTGCTGCGGCGGCTGATGCGCCCGATGCAGCTGGTATTAAGTGTTCCAGAACAGTGTTAACATAGACTGCAGAAGGCCCCGCACAAACCACACTACAGCAGACTTTCCGCTTAAAGCTTCGGAGATGTGTAGCTGCAATCAGAGATAGGAGCAGCAGCAGCGGCAGCACGGTCCGCCTCACAACCTTAAGTTGCAGTCGCCTCTCTCTGTACTCCTGTACCGGGTCTGTTTGCTGCAGCTTCGAGACTCATAGCACGCAGCATACTCACAGGTCATCACAAAACTCGTTCTGACAGCAAAAGCGAGAACATTGACACCAGACAGCAGCCGCTCCTTCCTGTGCTGCTCCTGCTGCTGCTGCTGCCGCCGCTGCTACTACCGGCCAAATCCTCCTTGCTGAGACCCCAAACGCCGGCACACTAATAAACATTCCTAGAAATTCTCATGTCGTCTATCCTGCAACTGCTACTGCTCCTCCGCCGGCCTTCCGCACTGCTGATGCTGATGCTGGTGCTACTGTACAACGAGCTGCTGCGAGAGTAGCTCCGGCAGCGTTTTGCGGGCATCACTGTCCAGTCCTGTGGACACACAGCTTTCAAGACTGTTGAATAATTGGAAACAACTCCATAAGGAAGGAACTTATCTCCACCATGCACGCCTTTGTTCCGCACGGCAACCACAGTAGGGTTGCATGAAGGTCACATCGAACACATCGAACACTACAGCAACAGCAGTGGCAACAGGTCTTCAAAGCAATATTTGTTGTAGGAACTACCTTGTTATACTGAACAGTTTTCCGAAAAGCAGCAGCTAACTATGACTGCTGCAACAACAATCACACAAAGAGTTAGCCCCGTGGGTCTGCTCACAGGTAGAGGTACCTGTGCATTGACTTGCTGCATGTTGGCTACCGATGTCCATACGAACATTTCACTTCCTTTACTACTTCTCTCACATCATTGCACGTAGACCAGGATCTGCCTTCCTGTTGGAAGGCAGCCAAAGGTTGGGCCAGTCTTATTGCAAGAATTGCAGCATCTGCTTCCGTATCGGCTGGTAGTCTTATCATTCATGAGGAATGCCTTCGTCTTTACCGGCACCCCAGATGTGGCTCACATCTTTATGGGTAGCTGAGGACGTGCTTGAGGTTCGCAAAGTGCGCCGTAAGAACTAGTCGTCTTTGCCATGCGTCTTACAAGGTGGGGGCACCACAATGGTGCTGTAAATACGCAACGGCCAACCGCTCCCCTACACATCAATCCCCTGAAAGTGTTTACCCCGAGCTTGGCAAGCAAACAAATGTTGGGAGTTGTCGATAGAGCACTACATCGGCAAGTGTCACACCGTGGTGAACACTAATCCAACTGTGGACACAGAATCGGTTATCGCTTCCTAGCGTTGTTGTCTCCTGCAGGGAGGTAATATTGTAAGTGCATAAGCCACAAACAGGGAACCAGGTGGTTACATGCCTTAGCTGCCCAACAAGACGAGACATTTAGGCAACAGGGACGAGAATACGCTACCTGCACTGTGCTAGCAGAGATGGGGGAGAACAGGTTTGAAAGTGACCTATGCGCTGCTTCGACGCAATTCACGCCCTCCATAGATCCCAACTTCGGCTGCGTGTCTGTGTGCGGCTGTGCGTTGAGGGAAAGAGACGCCGACGGGAGGGCCGGCCTGACTCCGTTTGCTCTGACGAAGCCATTGACTGCGGGTGTTGCTCCTGCTGCAGCTTTTTGCTGCTTTTTAGGGGCACTCTCCATTCAAAGGCTTCAATAACGGCAGCAGGCGCACAGGAGTAGGCAGACCAACCAGCCACACAGCGGTAAAAGGCCGAAGGACACGGGCTGCTCTGCAGCTCATTGAACAGCACATACACCAGCCAAGTGCAGGCGGGAAATGAGACAAGTAGCGCATTTTCCTGATGGTAATGGAGATTCCCAGAGCGAGCTGCTTGCGGGGGAAACCCGTCACAGACCCCTGTCACACAAAGTCCGTTGAGGGAGTCGCGCGCACACCGGACAGCAGCAGGAACAGTTGGCAGCAGAAGCTGCTGCTGCCAACTGTGGTGCTGCAGGGAAGCGTTAGCGAAGCGCGCTACTACTATAAGCATCCCAGAAGGAGGCAGTCACTCCTGTGAAAGTCCCACCTCCACTAAGCAGCCGCAATATTCGTGTCTTCTGCTGCTGTCTAGAGCGTGATCAGTGCCTAGCCGTAGACACAGGCACGCAATTCTGGACAGCAAGTAGCCTGTTGGTGTTGTGGCGAGGCCTCCCCTGGATGCGTGACTGTTGCGCGCAGTGCCAGCTGTTAACGTAGTCCCCAGCCTGCCTCAGATGGAATGCGAATAAACATTGGTTTTGCGGGCAGAAAATCTAATGTTGCTTCTCCACTGTTTGACGAATTTGTGTGCCAACCGGGGCCTTCCGGCTGGGCAGGGTCCAGCGAGGGCAGTGCGATTGTTTGAACGGCTGCAAGAGCCGCAAGACGACCAAACCGGCACCGCAGCAATTTCGCACGGCCAGAATCAACTACTGTGGTAGGAACAGGAACGGATACGCTTCTGCCAACCCAGTGTTGGCCTCTCCACCCACATCCGCGGGGAACGAAAGACTCCGTTGCCCCCAGTCGGAGGGGCCGTCACGGCGTTAACGGAGTTAGTAGTGTTCAGGCACAGATGGGTGGACCCCAAACGCTTGAAGAGTTGAAGGAAGAGCCGCACAAGCCTTCGTACTGTTACTGTGCGTGCTCTTGGGGTTGACCGTCAACAAGGATTACTGTTGATTTTCAAACTACCCTTTTTGTATGTAATTTCTGTTCTACTTCTACAGTGTCTCTTTATCGAATACCTCAAAATCAGCATACTCCAAGTCACATACCTTCAAGGGTCACGTAGAGAAATGAGGAGCTCGCTTCCCAAGGTTTCGGAGTGGCCCTTGTGAACGGACGTGGAGATTCTGGAGATGCGAAGTGGGCTTTGACGAACGAGAAAGGGGTGCACGGATGTGTTTATATCCGTTTGATGCTTCCATATTTGTTGGTTTGAGTGACCGCTTTCTGGTTGAGTAGTACAGTGGGAATGCTAGTGTGGATGTGTTTTCACATGGCGTCAGCGGGCGAAGCCGTTTATCGGTACAAATGGCACGCGATGGAATGCTGCTGTTTCATGTTTCGCTAAAGAAACACCGTAGGTAACTTCTGATATGAATGTCATAGTGTACGTATTTCGGTGCGAAGGCAAAGTGGGCGCAATCTTGTCTTCATTTAACCTGAACTTACTGGTGCTGAATTGCTGCTGCTCGAGATGTTATGATCATCAACTCGCCAGCTGTAATTGTCTTCCACAGCCTGTTCACTAGTGACTTTTCTTCAGAAACCACAGTGGAGAAGCACTTCGGTGCGAATTCACGTTCCTGATGTACGCGAAATAGGAGTTCAAGACACAAAGGCTCTTGCAAACAGGGAAGCTAGTTTGGGGAAGCCTCATCTATATGTCTTTTGGGCGGGTTGCGCGTGTTTTCGTTGTCTCCAAGCCTACACTCACTTGTGCCTAACTGCCGCTTTTCTAGTTGTTATGATGAGCAAATCTTCTGCCCTACCTTTCCTGAACAACGTGGCCACTGATGACGTTTCTTTAGAAAACCATTTCTCTGCGAATTCACGATTCTAATGTAAATGAAGTCGGGGTTGAAGCCACAAGGTTTTTGCAAACACAGAAGCTAGTTCGAGAAAGCCTCATCTGTACGTATTTTGGACGTTGTCGTGCCTCCCCGTCAGTGCACTTGCAATATGTCATTCTACAAGGAGGAATGGATGAACATGATGCATGCTACGCCACAATGTGGCACAACCCACGTCGCGCTGCGCTCTCTCTGTACGTAACGTTTCCTATAAACGGAGCCGGAAGCTGCATACAGGCTCACTGGCTGATGGCATATCACCATAGCTCCACGAGTGGGCGATCCGTCGTCCAACGTTAAAGGATCTGCTGTGGAAGGTGCAACCAGCTGCTTGCACGTCAGTGAAACGGCGTGTTCCCGTTTCACTCGAATTTTATCCTAGCGGATTCCGAAAGCTTCTGTGTCTGGAAAACACAAACT